GTGAAGGACAGGAAGGCCTGGCGCAATATGGTTCATGGGGTCACGAAGAGTTGGACACGACTTAACGACTGAACAACAATGCTGCTGTAAGGTGGTGTCTTTTTAGATATGACTGCTACAGTCACTAATATACTTCAGAAACTCTTCAGAGCAGCAATTGGCTGACAAGTACAAGAAGCATTTGTCTGCTGGTCTCTGCAGTATATATGCCACTCAATTCCAAGAAGGGTCTGAGTGGCTTACAAATAAAAATAAAATGAATGGAATAGAATTAATTTAATCCAAAAGCCAATGACAATAAACCTTTCTAACTATTAATGCCTCAAGGGTAACTGTCAGCTCTTTGAGACAGAGCAGAACAGGAAACAGACTCCAGAAATCTGACTAGACCTATAATGATATAGGTTATACTAACAGAAATTTGAAAGCCTGAGTTCTCTCCTCCCCTCTTCTTTTACTAAAAGTGAATTAAGGGGGAGTCTTTTTGAGCATTTTTCTCATACTTTTGCCGTTGCTTGGGCTCAAAGTATGTTTTTTTATGTAACTACTAGACAACCCGTGACCTGTTGGGTCATCGTTTCAGAGATATTTCCTTACCAGATTCCTCAATGCCTTCAACAATGGCAGACCTTCACTGGAAAAGTTCTTAAAAATTCAGGAAGATATTCAGAAATATATCTGTCTTAAAAATACCTCATGTCATTCATATTGAACTGTACAGCACAGTCAAACATCAGGAGTTGACCACAGGAAATGTTTTATGATATTTTGTATTATGTCATAAAATGTTTTATAAAATTTGCCAAATTTCAATTCCACGGGAGTCATGGATCCTGGATTTTGGTTGCATTCTGTAAGCCGATTTGAGGTACTTAGGTTCAAAAATTGTTGGCTTAAGATGCACTGTTTTGCCCAGTTAATGGTTATGAACAAACAGACATGAGAGTTTTAGTAGTATAGAGATTGTTCTGCCTAGCTTCCCTGAGGTTATCTTTGTGGCTCTCTATAGTAACAGCTGTAGTAGCAACAATTGCCTATTAGAGGGGGAAGTCTTGCCATTCCATCAATCCCCAAAGGCTTTTTGGAACAAACAGGTCTTGGTGGTTTTCCTGAATGCCAACAGGATTGATGCTTACCTGATGTCAGGTGAAGCACTTTTCCAAAGAAGAGGGGCAGCTGCAGAAAAGGCACACTCTTATGGTACTCTCCCCTTTAGATCTTATTCCAGAAACCTCTGGGAGAAGACAGTTTTGCAGTAAGTCAAGTCATGAGCCATGTAGAGGCTTAAAAGTAGAATCTTGAATTGCATCCTGAAGCCAACTGGTAACCAATGGAGCTCTCATAGTAGTAGTAGTCTTACTCTGGCAAAGCAGCAGGTGCCCTTAGCTGTTTGAGCCTCTGCACTGTGGACTAGTTGTAGTTTCCAGGTAGTCTTTAAGGGCAGCTGCATATAATGTGAATTGCAATAATCAAATAAGATGACCTGGGCATGAGCAACTGTGAGTGGGTCTGTTGATCTAGGCTAGTTGTGACTGCTGTACAGGATAGAATTGTGCAAAGTAGAGTTCAAGAGCACCTCTAGATTACAAGCCAGTTCTATCTGTGCAACCCCACCTTGAACTAAAGATGGACTGTCAGTGGTCTTGGGTTCCAAACCTACATTCACTCTGTCTCGGTGGAATTAAGGTTGAGTCTGTTTCTCCCCATCCAGACATTTATAGCCTCCAGGCACAGGAATCATGCCTCAGCCTTATTTCCCTTGTGGCCCTGGGTTGAATGGCCTCCCATGGGAAGTGTGTTTGGCTCCAACTCTGGTTGCCTTATGGAAGCAGCTGAACATGGAGCTCTTCCAGAGGGTATCTGGGATGGAGGTTTTTGTATTTTTCATTGTAAGTTTTTGTAATTTTTATTTTTATTGCTATTTATTATTTATCTTGAGTTGCCAAGAGTTGGCTCGTGATTGTGATAGGATATACTGTAAATGTGATAGAATGAATAGATGGATGAATGAATGAATGAATGAATGAATGAATGAGTATATAACTGAATGTCATCAGCATACTGATAATACCTAAGTCTATGCTGGAGAATAACTTCTAGAGGCTTTATGTTGAAGTTGAAGAGCAATAAATTTTCTGTGTTGTAGTGCTTCAGTAAGTGAAACTGTTTCTGTTCTCAGACAGGCAAAATCAAAGCTAAGACAGGGCCCTTGCACCAATTAAAGGGGTTTTAACACAAATGCGACATAAACATAAATAAATAAAACATCACTCCACTTGTTTGATTCTAAAAAACAGCACTGGCATATCAGCAGGACAGTAATGGTAAGGATAAAGAGGATTCTGTGGTTTATACTTGCTACAGAAAAAGGGTTATGGGAAGAGTTAAAATAACAAAGAAGAAACCACTCAACAGAGAATCAAACAAGGCATAAAAATTATTTCCTCCCTGTAGCCCAGCCTCATTGTCTCTGACCCTTGCCTAAATTACAAGAAAACAATAATGAAATGACCTTTAACAGCAATGGATCCATTAAGATTACAAGCTAATACAAGCCAGGAAATATAAGGATGAATCACACTATCATGTTCTAATGTTAAATCAGAATAAAATTTAGGAATATTCTCTGTAAGGTATGAATGCAGTAGTTTTTTCCCCCCACTATGCTTCACCAGTAACTACTATTCTGAACATGATGCTTAGTGTATAGCCTCTATAACCAATAGTTGTTGCCGGTTTTATCTGAGTCTTATTCCTGAAAACTTTGTAAGTTGTTGGTGGCCATTATAACTTTTTGAAGAAAGCATAATCTATAGTTTAATAAAGTGCAGTTGTGAGCTGAGCTTTCCACCATTCAGTTTCATTGGGAATCTCAGATTTTAGTATCATGGGAGAGGGAGAAAAAGCCTTTCTCGGATGACTTTCTACATCCCATACATTTCTATAATGTTTCCCTTTTATTTTTTGTACATTTGTAACAAACAAAGTACCCTTGAGCTTTGAACCTTTCCTTATAGGGGAGTTATACCAATTCCTTGATTGTATTGCTAGCTGGTATTTCATGCACCTCTTTCAACTTTACGATATTTTTCTAAAAATGCAGCCTTAGGAATTATAGACATACTTTTAGTATTACTGGACTGAATATTTATTAAAAAGGTCACAATTTGAGGTACAGGTAGTCCCCAGTTTAAGAATGAGTTGTGTTCCCAAGGACTGTCCTTAAGTTGAATTTGTATGTAAGCCGGAATAGTATTATTATATAAAACTCTGTAAGTAGCATTGTGTAATGAACTTGAATCACTGTGTAAACTCAGATTATTTTGTATTTAACTCGAATTTTGCTACAAAAGGCTCTGTTCTTCACTGTGGGTTGTCCTTAAACTGGGGCATTCTTAATCTGGGCACTACCTGTAAACGTTTTCATTGAGTGATCTAAGATTCTCTTCTGCTCATCAACACCAGTTTGAATCCCATCAGTATATATGTGAAATTAGGTTTCCCCCCCCCCCCCCATTCTGCAACAATTCTTGCCAATTTATTAGAATGAGATGGGATTTTGAGCTCTTTGTAATCATTTGGTTTTGCCACCTTGAACTCTTTGGTGTTCTCTTCAACCTGGGCCACACTTGAAACTGTAAAATTATGAACAAGTTAAACTACCAGTCGCACTACAGATCATTGGAGTGGGTATGCTATTTAAATCTAAGTGTTATGGGAACTGTTCACTCTATTGTTTTCTTTTTGATAATTTAGTACCGATCAATCAGAGGTGGGAAGTTCCCTTATCTCTCGACTGCTTAATTTACTCAGGAATTTTTGGAAGTGGATTTTGTCTGAAGACATTTGAATATCAAAAGATGTGTCTGCTAGATTATGTTATCCTTGTGCTTGTTGACATGCTCAAAGGCCAGGTGTATTGTGACTCTTTAAAAGGTTTCATCCCTTAATATTTTGTCTTTGGTAGGAATAGAGAAAGCAGCAAGTGGAAAGCTATCCTTATGATCATTTGTTTAATCCCAGAAGCAGGCATGAACAATTTTAGGGTGCCTGGAGATAATTCCAAACTCCCACTATTCTAAAATACAAGAAAAGTATAAATTTTAATATGGTCTAAAACTTGCTTGATTAAATTCATTAAAAGTATTTCTGTAAATAATATTTTTGCCTGGCATTGGAACGATAGGCCAGATTTCCTTGTTAGGAGATCATAGGAACTACATACTGAAAGGCACGAGGTTAGGAAGGGTGAATTTGTTAAATTAAGTTTTTGTTTGCTGTTGGCACATGGGGAACTGTTTGGATAAGGCAATTCAAACCAACACAGCACTGCTGAGGAAGCACTCTCCCCAAAATGATCTTATTTTTTTAATGAAAGAGGTACAGAGAAGGAACTGGCAGCTGATACATGAAGAGATGCTGCTTGAGATTTTTGAGTTTAAGTTATTTCAGTCATCATAAGCACTATGAGATTGTGCTGCTGAATTTTGGCAGTGTGAGAAGTTTAAAGGTGCTTCTTATCCCCACCCTTAATCCACCTCCAGGCCCCAAAACAGGTTAAAAATGTCAGTCGTTGATTCACAATTCTGGTGACATCAGAGCACATCACCAAATAGCCTTCAGAAAGTTGGGAGGCTGGGTTGGGGCCTTTTTCTCTCAAGTGTTGCCTACCCTTCTTCAAAAATACTGTAACCATCATCATCTTCAACTGAGCTAATTAAAATGGTTTTCATTGGCAGTCTCATAGTCCATTACTCCAGTCAGGAGGCTACAAGAACATATAATGACTAGATAATGTCTGAGCAGATTGTGAACCAGATGGAACCAAGAAGAAAGCATTTCCTGTTACAGAAACCCTTTAGCCCCTAATGATGGAGGTTGAGCATCATTTCCTGAGGTGTTCATGGTTCACAAATGCTACAGAAGAATGTGATTTTATCTGCTCTGCATATTTCCTACCATGGAGACAGTTTGTTCTAGAGGAGCATCAGGAGCTTAGACTCTAAGGATTTTAAGAATTCAAATCTGTATGGGTTTGGGGTATTTTGTTTCTGTATTGCACATTCTGTGTTTTATTCCTTCTTGTAAGCCACCAATAACTTTGAGAAATAAGCTAAACCATAATATTGTAAAGCATGTAACTTTTGGTACCATCACAAATTATATTTCTCTGCTTTTTCTCTCCTACATTAAGGAGGCGGCTAAATTTCCCTATAGGTGAATCAATGCAAACAGCTTGCATGTATGTATGTATGTATGTATGTATGTATGTATGTATGTATGTATGTATGTACAGTATGCAACCAATTTATACAGCCACCCATTTCACCACAGGTGACTCTGGGTGGCGTACAACAAAGCTAAAAATAGTCAATAAATACATTAAAAATATAAAAATAAAAATAAAACAAAGGATAAAAGGATGTTAAAAATAAGGGCACCATTAGGGTGAAATGGCTGAGGAGGTGCCCATCTTCAAGGCAATGGGGTATCTGTAGGTTACAAGCATCTGCACACAGTGAAGTAAGTTGTAAGAATGCTTACAAGTGAACAGAGAGAAACATGCCTAGAGCAAATTAACATGTCTGGAAAAAAGGGGAATAAGGCAAAAGAAGTGGCAAGTTTTCCTGTTGCTTGTTGCTTTGCAGAGGAAATAGTGCTTTGCCCATAAATAATGCAATTTCTAAGCACCCTGAAGGTACAGAAAGGATGGGCTGTTACCTTCACACACTGACAAAGTAGCTTAATGCATCTCTGGTAGAAGTCTTTGCTCTTCAGTCAACCACCTTTTTATTGGCTTGTATTTTCTGTTCCGCTGGCCACGTCGGCTGACATATAAGTCTGCAACCCTCGGAGTGCACACAAAGAAAAAAAATGGTAACCCGAGATTTCTTTTTCTACATTAGATAAAGCCTCTGGTGTAGCTTGCCATGCCATGGACTATTGAGGCACGTGCCATATGAACATAACACTTGCACTGCGTTAACCTGGCTTTAGGGTTTAATATACTGTGCGGACATGTTTTTCTGACAATGTGCTCAAGGTCTGAGAATGACTGGTGATTGTGGACAATATGCTCAAGTGCAGCAACATGGCCTTAAGTAGCCGGGAAAGAGATGCACAATCTTAGGTATAAATCCTGAGAGGTGTCAGAAGCCAAAATGCACTGTCCTAGAGGGTCACCTACCTATATACAAACTATATTGATACAGGCTTCTGCAGGGCGGGGAAGGAGTGGCAAACGACATGTGCATTGTGACAAGCCATGTGACTGTCATACACAGAAGCACAAACTGGCCACAACTAGTCTGTTGTCTGAACTCAGCCCCTGTTGGTGAGTCATGATTCCATCTGTGGATAAATCATAAATTGGAGAAAATGGAGTAAATCAGTAATAGGCTAAATGTAGGGATGCATGTCATGTGAAACAGCTTGTGGTGCCTTTAAAAACAAACATGGATACAGTGCACATTGTATGGATGATACACATCTTCAGATACAGTCATCCAAGAATTACATGCCAGTTGCCGGATGCCTTTTAAATAGCTCAACCTTCGGATGTTCTAAAGCGTGGGCTTTCCAAAGCGCAACTCTGTGCAGAGGTGAGGTTTTGGCACCTGGGCTGGGAATACCCCAATTCCAGTTCTCGGGGCCCACACCGCCAAGGAGCCCTCTGAGTGATTTGGGATCGTGTCTCTCTTAGCCCAGCCTACCTAACAGGGATGTTTTCATAGAGAGAAAAGGCGCGGTATGAATGCCTCGACAAATGGTGCCTCTGGAGAGCGCCATATGTCCCCGTGGTCTTCGAAGTGGCAGCTGATGCTTTGTTGCTCTGATGCTAACGAACAAGCCGACCCCCTTGGAAAGCTAAACGACAAAGAGAAGGGGAATGGGGAGCCAGGAGCGGAGGGGCGGTCAAGCCACGCGAGGTGATCGTGGGGATCCAAGGCGCGCGCGTCCCGCGAGGCGCTTCTCTCAGACCGGAACCTCTCCAGCTGCGCCCGCCCAGTCTTTCTCCTTCTGCGGGCTCCCTCGCCCAGCACGGCGCGGTCTGCTTAGGTTTCTGTGGCAACGTGGCTCTTTCTCTCCCCTCCCGGCAGGAAACGCAAGGTGGGTCCGTCGGCGCGGGAGAGGACGCTTCGGAACCGGGGAGGCCTCCCCGGGCGGCAGGTGCAGCTCGCCCGCGGTTTGGAGGAGCAGAAGCCGCTGCCAGGTGAGGTGAGTCTTCGCATGCTCGGCGGGTGTGACGGGATGGGAGCAGACCTTCAGAGGGGAGAGGCTGTGGTATTGCGACCCTCCCTGGACATTAAAAGCCACGCCCTCGTTCCGCTTACTCTACCCTACGGGGTTGCTGTGAGGATCCCACGGGGGAGGCAGAAAAAAATCACCGGCAGGTGTCAGCCTGAAAAGGATGAGATGGAACCATCCTGTGACAGGAGGACCCCACAGTTACACCTTTCCTCGTGGCTTACTTTTCTCCAGTTACCAGTTACTGGCTTTCTTGTTCTCCAGCTGTGCTGATAAACAAGGAACAAGGTTGCCTTTTAATTCATTTTAGTTTTGGCTGGTGGTTACCATGGTGATCTTTGGCTACTGACATATTTCAGAGTAGCCAAGCCCCCAGCCCAGGCTTGGAGGGGTATAAGCCATCCATCCACCGAGATTTCCTGAAAGTGAAAGGCGAGATATTTTGTGAACTATTAATGCTTGCAAATTATGAACCTGATACCCTAAACTGAGCTGGGGCTTACAGTAAAAAAAACCCCCAAATGAACATTGATTCGTATGTACTTGAGATGCCTTTCCCACCCACTTGCTTAAGAAGACTTTTGTCAGATGACACCATAACAGGCTTAATAGTAACATAAGGAAGTTATGCAACTTCTGAAAAACAAGCAAAACTTTTTTAAAAAGGAAGCATAGGAAAACCATGCACGTTGGGACTGAGGTATCTGAAATCCATGAGACAGTTGCTTTGCTGGCATTTACAGTTGTGTAAAGTGGTGGGGCAACCTTTAAAAAGCAGGTAAGGAAACTCTGGTTAAACAGCAGTGAGTGAAATGTAATTTGAATTGTGCCGTGGGCTTCTTTTTCTGGTCATGCTCAGTCTCCTACTTGATTCTTTGTTATTTGGAAGAAATATGTGCACGTTCTCTTGTCCTTTACTTGTTTCCTTCCTTCCAAGAGAGGATAAACATTAAATTGAGTCAGTGTTAGCTGAAGGTGAGGCCCTAAACTTTAGCTGCTGTGGCCCAGCTAATCAAGGCTGCCAGGTTTTAAGAATGGCTGAACACGCCTCTCTCCTTTCTACCAAACCATTTCAAATGCTTTCAAAGACCCGGTTCAACATAAATGCTGGCTGGGAGAAAGGACCAAATAAGATTCTGTTTTGAGACCAGTAGAAAGGAAAGGGTTTACAGTAGAAACCTGTAAACCCCTGGGTGCATGGTCCACAAAAGGTTACAAGTTACTGGCTGTCTGCCTGAGAGTTTAATGATCAATTTTGCTCCAGGTGCTCTTTGTGAAACTGGAGTGACGGGAGAAGTGATTCGTATGACTCATCAGCAGCACAGTGAAGGAAGAGGACGGTTATCTACAGAATTCAGTCCTGGTTTGTTTGGATAAAAGATCTCTTGAGCTAGGTACAGAGGAGACGGTTTTCCAGCCTGGAACTGAGCTCTCAGAAAAAAGTAAGTCTTTCATAAAATTATATCCATAATAGACTTTGGTGGGGAGAGGGAATAGTAGTACAGCAATGTAAATAATTTCTGGTATAAAATTTAAATGAATTTGCAAAAGGGAGGATGAATGAGAATGGGCGTCAGGCCTGAGTTTAAGGGAAGTAATTAAACATTCAACATTTGAAATGACTGGTGCCAAGTCTCTCAATTTTGCTTTTTTTTTTATCTGTGGCTAGCAGACAAGAAGTTTTAGTGCACGCTGTTGACCCTTTGGCTCTTAGAGACTTTTTAAAACTTCCTGTATCTTTAAACATATTGTTTTTGTAAATGAAGGTGGGGCTGATGGAGCAGATACTTTCATGCTTACTGTTTCTTCCCTGCAAATTGCAATGAATGTTTTTTCCATTTGAGGACAGAATTCAGGTTTAAAAGATTTGGGCTGGTATGTATAGTGGAAACAATAAGAATCAACCCTTTTAAAGACTTAAAGAGAAACCTAGAATATTAATTTGAACTTAGTCCTAATTTCCTTCTCACTGCACCTCTTGCCAGTGTAATTCTCCATTGTTTTATAATCTGTGAAATCGATGGCAAGTAAGGCCTGGAGTTCTTCCTGATCTTAATGGGCTGGTGAGCACAAAAAGAACTTTAAGAATCTTCTGTGACTGCAAATGGCTTGCTGTGGCAGCTTTGCTTGTTCACAAAATGACTTCCATTGGCAATATAACCAGATAAAAACCATGGATTTACCAGAGTGCTTCCTGCTACTATCTCTGCTTGCTTACCTTTGTTTCAGGGCTTCCAAAATTAGCACAGGGCTGCAGCAACTCATTGTGTTTATTATGAAGAAAGTCAGACGCCCATCTGAGGCTCATTGGCAATCTTGGTAATAAAGATGATGCTAGAGGCTGGCGCTTGAAATAACTCTTGGGATTATATTTTAAAAGTATTAAACCCTCTGATCCTTTTTAACTGTGAACCATAGTTTCAGTGGGTCTTCTTCCATCTCTGCCATTTTGAAACAATCACTTCTATTGTCTCCTCTCTGAAAAAGGTTCTGAATAAGGGAATATTTTCTGTTTTCTTGTCTACTTTTTTCTTGTTATACTACTAATGGGATAGAGATACCATACATGGGAAGAAACCTGTTGATTCTTCTGTATCTAAATGATATACTAGGGAATTTCACTTTTAGAAAAATAAATGTGATACATTTTAAACATAGACAAGAGCCAGGGAAGCTGGTGCACTTTGTTTGCACTGGAGTCCAAGAACATTACTATTCCAAAATAGTAATATTCTTGGTCTATAACCTAGTGCATTCTGCTCTGGTAGGTTTTGATTTTGTTGCTATTGATCATGTTGTGACTTCTAATGTTAGTCTCTGGGGATGATTCTCTTGATTTTTAAAACAAGAAATCATCCTGCTTCTTTTACTAGCTAAGAAGGTTACTGAATATATACACTCCACCTTCAGTAGAACCTCTTTGACTTACCAAGGCAGTAAGTGACATACCTTTGCAACATATTGTGGTTTTCTACACAGTATAGAATACCATTGGGATAATTACTTTTATTACTTTCAGCTTCCTGCTGAAATGTGTGTGGGTGCATATACATATATCCTGCTTCTTGGTTTCATTTCCTGTCTGCACTGCTGTGGATATGTAATCTCCCCTGGACTTGCTATATTTGTCCCTATAATTCATAATGGAATCCTGAGTGAAAAGGATGCTTTGCAATCAACAGTGAGGAACCTTTTGGACAACATCGTTTGTCAGTCTTGAGCTGTCCTGGTCACTCCCCATATTCATGTATATGTCTCCTTCTATGGGCTGAGCAGCTTAAGCAGGGAAGTGTGGGTGAGAAATCCAGCTGAGTACCTAGCAAGTAAGGAGGAAGATTATCCAATGTATTTACCTGTATCATTTCTTATTTTGTGGACTAGTGTAGGTAGCCCTTGAATAATATATTGATACTCCCACCTTTTTTAAGCAGTTCCTGGAGCCTCCCAAATAATGCCACCAAAAACTGGAAACAGGCTTAAGACATATATTTTAGTAAAACAAATCTCATTGCTCTCCCCAATGAAAAAAGGGACTGATAAATCAGCTTTGTCTCTTATGACATCACCATATCAATGCCATATCTTCAGATGGGAAGAATGACTGTAGACCTCAAAAAAAGTTACTCAAAAGTGCTGTTTTCCAGAAGCGGACTTTATTCTTTCAATAGTTGTTGATAGTTGTGTATGTGGGAAGACAACAGTTTTCCTCTCTGTGTCCTTTGCCTGATGTACTTAACCATTTTTCCTAAAATTTAAACAGGATTTTCCCTCTCTACTCTATCTTGTTTTGTGTCTCCCCCCACTGCCTCCTGCCCCCGATGTTATTCCCTTCCCAGTGTAACTACTCCTTTTCTTCACCTGCTCTCAACCTGCTTTTCTGTTGTCTTTGCTATTGCTGCTAGAATGAGGGAAGGGAGGGCAGGGGAGGGGGGAAATAATTGACCCAGCTGCATGTATCAGTCATGTAAAGTTATAAATTGGCTATCTTATTTTATGGGCAATTAAATGAATAGAGAAATTATTAGACATGATGAAGGCTGAATGTGATCAGAAGTAAAATCTTTGCAGGAAGACAGGCAGGCAGGAACTCTTGTGGACCGAACCTGGCTCATCCAAAGCAACCAAATCACTATGAAGATACAACATAAATGTATTAGCATGCAAACAATAAATCAGTGTACACTGCGCTCCCAGCAAAGCATTGGCAGCTTGCTGAGCAGCCCTGATCAAAAGCAGAACCAGCACTTATATAGCTACATTTCAAAGACAAGACAAAGGAATTACAGCATGAGGTTGGAAATGTTTTTCATAAACCCATCTGGATGATTTTCTAAATATTTATCCCTTCCTACTAGGTCAGCATGCTAGCTATACTATCTTGGAGATATGGTCAGTGGATGTAAACAATTTGGTTTACTGGGCCACAGGTTCTGGACTGATTCTTCCTCCTGTCACCACTCAGGGCCAATTCAACCTGCTGTGAATATTTTCTTGCATTCACAGGGGCATCTCATAGGTTTGGTAGTGACTGCAGCTCACATGTGAATGGGGGGCACCTTTTACGACCATGTTCCCCCATTTCTTTTCCTTCCCCTTCAGATGTGCAAAATGATGGAGGGGCTCAGAGGAAGGAAAGGGTAAGTTTGAAGATGGTAGCATCCTCCAGGGATTGAAGAGGAGGTAGCAGCAAGCACTCTTAGCAATTTAGGTTTTAGTAAATGTGTATGTTCCATAATAGTGCCTGGACGTCTCATACTTGCAGATGTGTTCACCAGGGTAAAAAAATGTTGCCTAGCCCTATTCATTTATTTATTAGATTTATAGCCTGCCTTTCATTCAAGAGCTCAAAGCAGAAAGCATACAGGTAGTCCTCGACTTACGACCACAATTGGGACTGGAACTTCTGTTGCTAAGCAATGTGGTTAAGTGAATCGCACCCGATTTTATGATCTTTTTTGCTGTGGTTGCTAAGTGAATCATGTGGCCGTTAAGCAAATCCGGCTTCCCCCACTGACTTTGCTTGTTGGAAGCCCCCAGGGAAGGTCACAAATGGTGATCAAGTGACCCCAGGATGCTGCAACTGTTGCAAATACATGCCGGTTGCAAAGTGGCCAAATTTTGATCACGTGACCATGGGAATGCTGTGACAGTTGTAATTGCAAGAACTGGTTGCAAGTCACTTTTTTTAGCGCCTTCGTAACTTTGAATGGTCGTTAAATGAATGACTGTAAGTCAAGCACTACCTGTAGTATTCTTCCTCTTTTCCCCACAGTAATAACCCTATGATGTTGCTTGAGCTGCAAGTGACTGGCTCAGAGCCACACAGTGAGCTTCCACGGCTGATGGTGGACTTGAACCTGAGTCTACCTGCTCTTAGTCCATCACCTGAACCACTGCACATTATGGATGGTGGTGCTGAAGAAGGCCAGTCCCCCTTAATTTAGATACTGATGAATTGATTTTAGCAATGTCACTGCTTTTCCAGGCTTTGATTCTTTGTCTTTTTTCTAGAGACACTTTTGCCCTGGAGGTTATGTTGCACAGCACGGAGCTGGCATTTGCCAGAAACAGAAATGAGACTAAACCAATTACCTTAATCTAGTTAGTTATCATGATCTAATAAAACTTCTGTCTCTGGCTAGGAATCGTGTGGTTCGCTGATAAAGATCTTCTAGTATCAGTCGTTCTCTTATGCACCATTTGTTCCCCAACCATATTTTTCTCCCCACCTTCAATAACAGGGGTGCTGCTTCTGGCTATCCGTCATTTATCCTGAAAAAAACACTGTATTCCATGCACTTCCACCTGAGATCTCTAGACTGATTTTGTACAGTGCTTGTTTCAGGCTTCTTTGCATCTCACACTGAAACACTATTTTCCTATTCTCGTCTATTTGCTAGCAAATACTTTACTAAACTTGTATGTTGCCTGACTCTCAATGACTCTGGATGGCTCAAACAATCAAATTACAATAAAATCAATAAAACATAAAAGGTAAAGATAAAAGATGATGGGATGAAGCAAGGGGTCTCACTCTCCTTGCCCAAGGTATGAGTGATATAGAGGTGCCAACTGCTCAGTGTTCCTTCTCCCATCTGGCCTAATCCAGGAAAGGAAAGAAAAATCCTGTTGGATCCCTAATGGAACAGAACTCAAGCAAGATGGAGAAAAAAAATTATTTGGATGCTGATTCTTCTCTCCCTTCTTCCTAAATTTGGCAGCTCAAAACCCGGCTGGGAAGTAATTCCTGCCTGAGTAGAAGATGGAGGATTCTTCTGCCAGACCTGCAAGCCCCACAGGACTGACCTATGTAGTGGCCACCTCACAGATCCTGGGCCTCGTGGTCATCACTATGATGGCAGCCTGGATTGGACAGTATCGGGGTGGCATTGCCTGGGACAGCTCTCAGTTACTGTTTAACGTCCACCCTCTCTGCATGGTCATTGGAATGGTATTTCTTCAAGGTGATGGTAAGAATTTTGAAAGGAATGGGAGCTCTGCTTTGGCAGGAAACTTTCACATGCAAGGTGTGTAAATGAGGTTTGTCATCCAAGGGAATAGACCCAACTGGGTGTGGCTGGATTCAGAATTTGGAAGGTGGGTAAACTGGGTGTGACCTTTTGCCTCCTCCCACAAATGAGAAGGCCTTGGAGAGGCCCAGAAGGCCTCCTTCCACTGGGGCCCCACAAACTCTGATTTGCTTAGCAGCCAGCCATAGCTTTGACAGCCTTTTGTTTTTTTAAAAAATATATATTTCAAAGTTTTTCCTACTTGTTTCCACTTATGCAAATAGATACAAGTATTTTTTAGAACCTCAGTTACTATAGGATACATCCTAAAGGGAGCTGAACCTAGAACCCCAATAGAATGGGGGAAAGAGTTCTTATAAGTCATTTGCTATTTTGAAAGGAGAAGGTATGTACTTGCCCATAATTGGACAGACAAGAACTCTAGATGCAGTGACCCTTACAACATTGCTAGGAACCATTTCACTTGCCTAGTTGACATAGAACTTGTAGTGATTCAGGAGCAAGCCAGGGACAAAAAACACTGGGAAATAGCCAGGAGTTTCCTGGTCATTGCTGGTGCTTATGGGATAGGCAGACTTTTTCCTGGTCTTCATGCAATGGAGTGTGGGATGGATCCTTTATCTATGGTAGAGTGGCCAATGGAAAGCAAGAGGAGGAGTGTTAGCAGCTGGAGCACAGAGACCCTCAGTCTGCATACACAGAAGAGTTGTACACCTGTGCACAGCCTATGAAGTCCCCAGTATGCCTCCTCTGGCAATCTGCTGTGTTCACATCCCTCCTTGCTCTTGCCATTGACAACCATGATTCATCTTTACCTGAATCAACCAGATAGCCTGTAGAATGGGAACTGCATAGCTACTGCTGTCTTAAATTCCCTCTTGACTGCATATATTTATTTAAAATACTCAAATCTCGTACTTATGATTTGAATACATAAACCTGATACGCGTGAAGACATAAAAAATGAAGCAGCTCAAAATACGATCTACTAATAGTCCTTGGATCAATTAAAATGCTTTTGCTTGATACCCCAAAGATTGTAATCTATTCTGGCAAGGGACTAGTGAAGTGAGGGGAACTGGCCAGCCACCCCCCTAATTCCTACTTCTTCCTCTTATCCTCCAGCCCTTCTGGTCTACCGTGTCTTCAGGAATGAGAGCAAGCGCTCCACGAAGATTCTGCATGGGCTCATCCATGTCCTTGCACTTATCATTGCACTGGTTGGTAAGGCACAATGAACCTGGCTGGAATCTTCTATCACACTTTCTGAGCCTCGTCCCTAAAGGTCATCATTGATGTTCCCATGGGATGTTAGGCTCGAGAGAAGAGATGAGGCTTCCCAGATTACTTGAGAGCCTCTATTTCAGTGTTATTCTTTAGCAAGTCATAGCATCAACATCTTCTGGATCTCATGAAGAGGAAACCAGTGGGCAACATTCCTGTATCTAAAACATTTCTACTGGGGTGGCTGGGTGGTGCAGAGCAAAGTGCTCACTGGGACTCTACCTGCCTCCCATTTTCATCTCACAAGAATGTAACTGGGAGCTTGTTTGCAGCTTGGGTTGGTACTTCAATTTGCAGCATGACCTCCACTCTTATAAAGAAAGGGAAAAGAAAGAGGTCTCTGCCTTTTGCCTGAGAAATAAAAAAAGGCAGTGGGAAACCATTTCATATTATTGCCAAGGGAACTATATGGACATGTATATGTATATTTGCTAGGAGTTGAACTTGACTTGAGGGAGACTTTGCTAAGAGGGGGGTCTCACCATGGTACTATAAGGGTTCCCTGCTCAGAGTTCCTTTAAATTAATTGCCTCTGAGTCCAGCCTCCTGCTCACTGCAGAAATCTAAATAACAGCATCCTGGATAGATGGCTGTCCAGCCTCCAGTTGAATGCACCCAGTGAAGGTAAGCTTACACCTCTCTAGGGAACTGGTTTCATTATCTAATTGCTCTTTCTATTAGATTTTTTCTTCATGCTTAGTTGGAATACTGTATGTCCTTCTGTGTAACTCAAATCCATTCTTTATTGTATATTTAAATGCTGTAATGAAAATCCATCTCCTATCCCTGGCCCCCAGTTTAGTTGGGGGAAGATGTCCTATAATGTCTCCAAAAGACAGAGGGGATTTTGGAACTTGTTTCCTGGCTTGGAAAAGATTTGGGATGCCGGGGGCTATTTTCCTCATCCCAGACAAGGGTGGACCTGCTGTTTTTCTATTTCCCAACTATTTCTAGAGTGGGTTGTCCTTGTCTCAATATTATGGAGTGGATAGTGGTAGGTTAGGCAAGACAGGGAGTCGTCTAAGGAATCTCCCTGCCTTGCTCTCCCTTTAGGTCTGATTGCTGTCTTCCAGTACCACAAGAAGCAAGGCTTTCCAGATATGTACAGCCTGCACAGCTGGTGTGGCATCACTGCATTTGGCTTCTACTTTATACAGGTGAGGTGGTACAGGGAGGGCTTGTGGAGCAAGCATGCTTGGGGTTGTCTGAACTCTTTCCAGAACATACTTCTGCCCTAGAAAGTGTCTGCTTAATAAAAAGCTTGAGGGCAGAAAAGTAGACTAGCTGGTCTACTTCTTTGATTTTGTATTTGGACTCTGGGCCATGGAAGATGCTTGCATTGAGGTGGGTGAAGCATCAAGTAGGGGGCATTTAAAATTCATCTCTCGGTGTACCTTCAGGTATCAACACTTAAGCCAATATTTTGTTATTTTGCCCCAACAGTCTTCTTCCAAGCTATCAAATACCTTCAGTAAGGCTAGGTCCTCAGGGAAGAATGGTAAGAGTAAATTCCATACCTTGCACTGTAATAAATGCTACTATGGCTTAGTGCAATCTGTGAACTCAGTTTGTATATGTAGAATGAGGATGTTTTGTCTCAGCACATATTTTCTATTTCTTTGCAGTTAAGTATCACTGCAATTTTATTGCTTACTCATCAAGTTTAGAAAGATCCTTATCAGGCCTGTTGCATTCTATTTTACTCACCCTACAAAAGGTGTGCATGACCAGATCCATGCCTGAGGGCCTTCTAGCTTACGTCAGCTTTAGATGCCTTGTGTCTTTTCCTTCAGAAAAGATATGAGATCGTCAAGGAAGAGCTCTGTCTGAGTGGCTGGCAATAGTTTAACCCAGTGTTTCTCAGCCTTGGCAACTTTAAGATGTGTGGACTTCAGCTCCCAGAATTCCCAGCCAACAAACTGGCTGGGGAATTCTGGCAGTTGAAGTCCAATCTTAAAGTTGCCAAGATTGAGAAACACTGGCTTAATCACTTCTCACAAAGTAAGCTCCCATCGGAGTCTTGCCTGGAAGTGGTGCTTTTAATCTAAATGAGCTGGTAGTGAGCAGTAAGGTAACCAAGTGTGAGCATGATACTAAATTATTCAGGATGGTAAAAAGAAAGTGCAACAGGCTTGAAAACAATCTCTCCAAACTTTATGAATAGACAATAAAATGGCAAATGTTGTTAATTGCAAATTAATGTCAAATGATGTGTGTTGAGGCAAAAACTTCACATTGCACGTATGCAGATTATGTTCACACCTTGAATTATAATGTCATTTGTAGTAGTGCAAGGTATGGAATTTGCTCCATTCATTTATCCCTGAGGCCCTATCCTCACTGACATCATTAAATAATTTTTATTCAGCTTCTAAGAAGATCTTGGAGGAAGAAAGTACAATAGTATATTGGCTTGACTGTAGCAGCCCTGCATTTTGTTTTTTCCCAAAGCTAAAAAATTGCCAAACACTTTGCAGAGGGATAATGTTAGGAGTTGCTTTTGCTTTGAGAAGGGGAACCCAAGTAAACCTTTTGCTGTGGCTAAACATCTATACAATCTTGTTACTGCAAAATATTTTAGGGCCTTTACCCTAGCAAGTTTCAACACACTGCCTTGCTGGAAGGAAGATATCAGTGTTGTCTCTTCACAGAGAGGCTTCATACTTGCCATTCTGAACAGTTGACACTCTGAGCCATGTGCTGGTGTACTGCCAATTTTATGATGAAATTGTCCCCCGTATTTAATTGGAAGCAAATTCTCCAGTAGGCTAGACAAATCCTGTATTTCTTTCTTCTTGCAGTCCATAATGATGATGCCACCTTTAAACTTGCCAAATTTTCTTTTGGATCTTGTATTGCTAGGAAACAAACAGTGAAGCGTGACAGGGATCATATTGGTTAGGAACAACGTAATTTGGCAATTTTATCTAGGTTTTTATGCTATTTTATATTAGGGTTAATATAAATATATTAAATTTATTTATTTAAATTTATTAAATTTATATCATAAATTATAAATTTATCTAGGGTTTTATGCTGTTTTATGTTAGGGTTAATATATCTTTATGACTGAGTATATTTTTCTTTTATACTATTGCAAAGAAGCTTTATCACTTAGTGGCTTGGTCTTAAATAGTTTTAACAGTCTGGGGCTTATATTCTATTGCTACTTTTTTCTTGATTAAATCAGAATTTTTTAATGTTTTTCCATTTGAGCTCTATATGTTCTATTACAAAGCTGTATGTTATTCCATAATAAAGATGTTCTGAAGGCTCTAATCAGATAGAGTGCTGACCTCAATGACTTCTAAGGAAGGTTAGACTGATACAAACAGGATAAAGCAGTGAATGGTTTCTACTAATGTTGGCTATAATTCTACTGAAGGATCAATAACTTTATACAGAAGAATGATAGAAGAAGAATATTGCCCTTATGTCTTATTTGTGGCCTTCCCAAAGCCATCAGATGGGAGAAATAGGATGATGGACTAGTTAAGCTTTTGATCTCATCCAACATGGTTGCTTTTATGTTTTTAGAGAAAGATTTTTCAAATTGTGGGGTAATGTAAACCTCTAAGTTTAATGGGGCTTAGCATCATTAGGGATTTATTTTCTCTTGGCTTCTGATACTTTAGGCAAGTTCTAGAGTAAGCAAGGCTACATTCCATGGAAGAGAAGAGCTGTTATAGGTGCAGTATTTATGATTTTTGAATTCTGCTTTCTTTCCCTTTTCAGTGGTTGTTTGGATTTTACATCTTCCTCTTCCCTGGAGCATCATTCTCACTCCGCAGTAGATACAAACCACAGCATGTCTTTTTTGGAGCCTTCATCTTCATCCTTTCCATTGCCACTGCCCTGTTGGGAATTCTGGAACTGCTACTCTTCAAAATAAAGCAAGTGATGCTTTTGTTAATTTATGCACACAGTGTTTATATTTAGATCTGTTTGGTGATTGTGGGGCCTTCTTTACTCAGCAAAGATGTGAAATATAAATACTTGCTTATGGCTGATAACTGAAATAAAGGTGCTTGGTATAGTTCAGATATTATGGAAAACAAACAATCTAGACATTCTGGAAAATAGCAATGTTTCAGCTTTGTCCAGCTCCTGATGCTCATTTGTAGTAGGAACTTAGCACTGTTTCCCTTGTATGTTCTTCCCTGTCTTAAAACATTAATTGAGGTTTTGCATGTTTAGTTAATGAAGTTGGAGCCAAAAACTTAGCATGTTAACAGATCCGTGAACCATCTCATAATGTTACATGACCAAGTAGTCTCCACCTTGGTAGAATATTGGTGGTCTGTTCTCAGCATTTTCTTGCAAATGTTTTACATGGTGATTTCCTTCAACCAGTTATAAACTATGTTTTTCCTAAGTGGGTTATTTCTTTCTCCAAGCATCTTTCTCCATGAGTAGTGCTGAGGCCTGAGAATGGGCTAAATCTGTGCTATTTTTTTAGTCCTTGCTTGCTTCATTTTCATGGACAGCACAGACTATCCTTCCCTATTACTTTGGGTCCTTCAGGTTTGTTGGACTACAATTGGACTACTATTTCCAACTAGCCAAATGCCATGTTGCCTGGGAATTGTGTTGCAATCCAGTGCATCTGGAAGGTGATCCAGACAATGTTATTGCCAGCCTCTTTTGATGGTGTTTTCCTGATTTATGGCACTACATTTGATCAAACACCTGTAGTATCAGCCTGTTTCATGTTGATGACTGGCTACATCTCCTTGGAGATTTTCAGAGATGATGTCTGTCAAAATCAGAATTTCCTTTTGGTGAATTTTAACTTTGTCCTAACATTTCCTTTACCTGGCTCCATTTCTTCCCTGTTTCTTCCTCTTCCTTCCACAGAATTTCTGCCATTAGATTTTCAGGGTCAAAGCTGATTCTTTTTGGAGCAGCTTTATAAGCCATGTAAAATGAATGAATAAATAAATGAATGGGTGAGCTGTGAAATGAACAACCCTAACATATAAAGTAGTGCTTAAAAGATTGTGAATCTTTTTGGTTTTTCAATATTTCTGCATAAATATGACCTAAAATGTGATCTGTTCTCCACACAAGTCCTAAAACTGGATAAAGAGAACCAAGTTAAACAAATGAATCAAAAACATTATATTTGTTCACTTATTTATTGTGGAAAATTATCCAAAGCTGCGTATTTGTGTGTAGCAGAAGTATGTGAGCCTCTAGTTCATTTGAAAGGGAAATTAGAGTCAGGTGTTTCAAGCAATGGGATGATAATTAGGTGTGAATGTGGGAGGTCCTGCCTTATTTAAAGAACAGAATTCTGGGTTTTCATTATCGAAGTCTGATCTTCACAACATGTATGTGGAAGTGTGTCATGGCTTGAACAAAGGAGATTTCTGAGGGCCTCCCAAAAACATTTGTTGATGCTCACCTGGCTGGAAGAGGTTACAAAACTATTTCCAAAGAGTTTGGATTCCACCCGTCCATTGTCAGGCAGATCGTGTACAAATGGAGGCAATTCAACACCATTGTTATTCTCCCCAGGAGTGGTCACCCAACCAAGATCACACTAAGAGCAATCTCAAAGGTCTCAAAGAACCCCAGAGTAATGTCTAAGGAACTAAAGGCCTCTCTTGCATTGGAGAATGTCAGTGTTCCTGAGACCACCAGCAGGAGAACACTGAACAACAATGGTGTACATGGCAGGGTTGTCAGGAGAAAGCCACTACTCTCCAAAAAGAACATTGCTGCCCATCTGCAGTTTGCGAAAGACCATGTGGATATGCTGGAAGGCTATTGGAAGAATATTCTTTGGATGGATGAGACCAAAATAGAACTTTTTGGCTTGAATGAAAAGTGTTATCTTTGGTGAAAGGCAAACATTGCATTCCAGCATAAGAACTTTATCCCATCTGTGAAACATGTTGGTGGCAGTATCATGGTTGGGGTCTGCTTTGCTGCCTCTGGACCAGGACAGCTTGCCATCAGTGATGGAACTATGAATTCTGAATTGTAGCCACAAATTCTACAGGAAAATGTCAGGGTATCTGTCTGTGAACTGAAGCTCAAGAGAAAATGGGTAATGTAGCAAGACAATGACCTAAAACATATGTATGACCAAAGAATGATTAAAGCAGAAGAAAGTTAATGTTTTGAAATGGCCAAGTCAAAGTCCTGATCTTAATCCTGTAGAAATGTTGTGGAAGGACCTGAAGTGGGCAGTCCATGCAAGGAAGCCCACCAACAGCCTTGAATTGAAGCTGTTCTGTAAGGAGGAATGGTCTAAAACTCCTCCAAGCCAATGTGCAGGACTGATCAACAGTTATCAGAAATATTTAGTTGCAGTTATTGCTGCCCAAGACAGCACATCAGTTACTGAAAGCAAAGATTCACATACTTGCACACAAATATGTAGCTTTGGATAATTTCCCTCAGTAAATCAATGAATGAGTATAATATTTTTGACTCATTGTTTAATTGGGTTCTCTTTATCTAGTTTTAGGACTTGTGTGGAAAACAGATCACATTTTAGGTCATATTTATGCAGGAATGGGTTCTCTTTATCTAGTTTTAGGACTTGTGTGGAAAACAGATCACATTTTAGGTCATATTTATGCAGGAATGGGTTCTCTTTATCTAGTTTTAGGACTTGTGTGGAAAACAGATCACATTTTAGGTCATATTTATGCAGGAATACTGAAAAATTCAAAAGGGTTCACAAACTTTTAAGCACCACTGTGTATTAAATTTGACAAGAAAGTGCCCTTTTACCGGTATGATGGTATAATTAGACATGCATTAATGGGATGCAAGGTAGTGTTTTATATGTGTTAATTAGGCTTACAGAAGCAGAGTGCTTCATGGACCATTTATCTGGTTGTGTCAGCCTCAACCAATATCTGATGCCCTCCAAATGTTCTGGACTATAACTTTCAACTCAGTGCAGCTATCCTGGCAGGGAATGAAGGGAGTTGTTGCCCAATGTCTACAGGAAGCATGAAGTATGAGAAGGTTGCCTTACATTATATTTTAAGGCTGCAAAAGAGCAATCCTATAGACCAATTGTGGCAATGAGGAGCAAAAAAATATGGATCTCAGTAGCTGAGAGATGTTATATCTTAGCGGCAGGACTTCCATGAAATTCTTTGGTCCTTAGTCAACAGATTCTGAGCAGAAGACTGTTACGTTCTGTAGCCCATTAACATCTGCAGTGCTGCTCTGCATGGTAAAATTGGGTGTAATGGTGTCCATAAAAATGTAGTGTAGGGATTTCCTTTTATTTGTTTATTTGTTTTTATAGCCCACCCAATTCAATTAAAAAAAATACTTTGGATGGGTTACAACACATTATAAAAGCAACAACAGAAATAAATATTTGTTTTATTGACACTGTAGCTTTTTAACACTTTATAGTTACTGTAAAGGAAAATCCCATTATAAACTTCACACCTACCAAGACAAAAAAGCAACATGCAGACTACAAACACATATAATCAAATAGAAGAAGTACAAAAAATAAAAATGACAGTCCAGCTTTATTATACCCATCCCTAGCCAGAAATATATATATATAAAATTCTAGTAATTACATTAGATTCAAATTCTAGTAATCAAACAATTCAAATCCAGATCATCTCCCCACAGTCTACTCAGAGCTGTCTTGACATTTTATGAAAACCAGGCTAACCCCTTGGTCAAGATGTTCTACAACACTGGGGCCATCACAAAGGATTGTCTTTGGGTCCATATCCCTTTGACGTCTTTTAGAGATAGGACCTTAAGCATCTCCTTTGTGGAAGTGTGCATAAGATGGGCAGAATCAGGACTATTTCCTGATTCCTAAAGAACTATTTCCAATATTATATTTGAGTATTGCTATAGAAAAGGATTTATTTTTGTGCACACGTTTTTCTGAATCGTTGAATTGAACCATGTTGAGAATCTTGGACTAAATAAACCTTGTTTCCCTGCTAGTTTCTACACTCAAAGCAGAACCTGTGGACTGCCAGATGCTGTTGATGAAAGTTAAAATCCAATAGCATATAGAGAACTAAAGATCTTCTATCTCTAATTTAGAATATTATCCATGCTGCTGGTCTTGCATATCTGAGTTCCCTGAATTTTAACATGGTCTTTTTGAAAATAAAACAAACAAAAAAAGGATTGGGGAGAAGAGAGGGAGAAAAGGTTGTTGCATTAAGGACCTCATTAGCCACCCCTAACCACAACAGAAACTTGCCCTGGGATCATCTTTTTTCTGTCCCTATTGACTTGCCTTCAATTTGTCCCCAGCCTATGGGTGAGACATATGTAAGTTGTCCTTGGTTGTACTGATGAGAAAGTAGTGTGTAAAATCTGTTAGGCTTTGTTATCTGTGAATTTGTAGGCAAGACAGGTGACTGGCAGTGATTAGAAATAGATGCAAAAGAGAGATTAACAATAGGAACAGCAGATTTCATGAAACCAGCATAGGTTTTCTGCCAACTCAAGAATGGGGGAAGAGTACATTAATTCAGCAGTGCGGAAAAACCCTAATATTGTCCCTTCTGCTTTTGCAGGGATACCTATAGCCTCTTTGTTCCTGAAGGAATCCTTGCCAACATCTTGGGCCTCGTACTAATAGCTTTTGGGGCAGTTGTGGGTTACATCTTGACCCGGCATGAATGGCAGAGACCCCCATTGGCTGAGGAGCTGGCATTGTCCATGGATTTCAAAACCCTCACAGAAGAAGGCAGCCCCACAAGTTTGCATTGAGGCTTGCTCTGCCATCCACATTGAGGATCTGTTTCTATGTGGTATCTGACTTGTCCTGTAGCATCATGCAATTGCCACTGTTGCACATGTGTAAGCAGTCCTTTCACTGTTGTTTCATGACCCCCTCCCACTTGCCTTATATTTTTGTACTGTTTTCTTCAATGGCCACTATAAATGTAGCATGGTGAAAAGGATTTGTAGCGCCTGTGCTGTGTCAGTCATTTGTGCAAATGGAGATTTGGTGTCATGTTCCCTGTTGAATAAAAGCATGATCAGGATTCAACTGGTTATCATGCCATAGGATTAAATCAGGAGTGGGCAATTTTGGGGGGACAGAGATTGCACTTTTGGGGTATCAGTGCCACAGTAGAGAAGGAGGTGGGACTGAGATTTTGATGGCTTCCATCAAAGATTTTGATGGCTTCCAGAGTGTGTGTGTGTGTGTGTGTGTGTAATTTGGGGGATGTGCTAAATTTATCAATTGACTTACACCCTCTTTGTTTTGCTTCCTGCTGATAATCAGCAGAAAATAACACCTCTCTTTTGTTTGGTGATTTGCTGCTAAATTTCAGTAGTAATTTTGGGGGCCTCTGGAAAGCGCAAGAAATGGATTCAGAAAATGCTTATGGACCACAAGCTACCCACTCCGGTGTTCACTGCTTTCAAAGGATTGTTGGCAACCCCAAATGGATCAGATATCAGGAGGATAGCAGTTTCCTTCCAGTTTGAAACTGTAGTGTTGACAGATCAATAGCAAATAAAATTTCAAATGATATTTCACCATTTAGTGTCATAAGTATACATGTAGTTTTTCCATCTGTTTCCATGAAGAAATCAAACTCAGTTGGTGATAAGATAGAAAATAGAAGTGTTCTTTTTGCCATTTAACATCTTTTTCCCTCTGCCAGCAGATATTTGATTGAAATGTCCATTCTTTCCATCATCATTGCCTTGAGAGCTATCAGACTTTATTTTGTTGACATCTGGACTTACTGTTAAATAATCTCTCTGCAATATGTGTGGGTAAAAGCCTTTCATCCGATATATGCAAAAGGTTGGGAGCTTTGGGATTCTTTTAGGAAAGGAATGCCAATTCAATTCATGCCTCTAAAACCAAGTGAATTTATATTCATAAACTAACTTTTCTCAAGCTGGCTGAGAATTTTGGGAATTGCATGCCCAAGATATCTAGAAGGTAGCAGAGGGAAAGGCTTGTTTCAGTATGTCTGTCTTTCTCCTTTGCCCTTTCCTAAACAATGGTATGTTTTGAAAAATCAGAAGGATTATTAAAAAAAGATTGGAGATCTCAGTTTTCTTTCTGGGCAGTTACAGAGATATTCAGTGCATCTGTCATAATAAGAAAAAGATAGTGACCTAAAATATTTTTCATGGCGCAGCTATAAGAATGCTTAGCTAACAAAGTTGAAGGCACTCCACAAATGCCAAGTATTACATGTGAATTATGCATTTTCTCAAGTACTCATTGACTTTTCTCAGCAAAGGCAGACCCCAAATATTTAACAGAGTCAAAAGGGGAAGTGATCCAGTTCTCTAACAACCTTTACTTTGTTTTTTCAAGTGTTGCCTTGAAACAAATGAACTTTCTCTTATTCTGGAGTTGTTTCCCTTGTGTTTGACACATTAGCTGGATTCCAATAAATATTTGCAGCAAAAAAGAAAAGCAGTCTGACTCTTGTTTGTGCTTAGCATGACTGAACGAAGTGTTTTAGCCTCCCTTTGTGTTTTCCAGACTCTCCAGCCACACCCAAGCTTGTTCTAGAAGTCAAAGACTTACATTCTGCTAAAAATGTGAGATTTCCCAACAACCTCCTTACTATCTCTTGATGTACCACAGACCCTCTCATGGGTGTGTGGCTGGGCTCAATGAAGACAGTAGCTGAATGGAGTGAGTTAAAAACAGCCTCTTTCTCTGACAGCAGTTCCCAAGGGCGGCCTGGGGGATTGTAAAGAGTTGCAAAAACAAGTACCACAAGGAGGCAGCAAAAGGCTGTTCAGAACTACATCCTCTTGGGTAGAATATTAGGACTTGCAGATCTGCATTGGGGCTGCATCTTACCAGAGACCCATCAGTATTTTCTGCCTGATAGAATGAGGAAAGAGAGAGCAGAACACTGGCCAGGATAGAGGCCCCATCCTAGGATACACAAAACGTTTCCTCCCTGCCTGGCTGCCTACATCCTAAATGCAAATTAGCACATAGAGCTAAACAGTACATCCTCAATTAGCACATAGAGCAAAACAGTAATGCTGCAGAGCTGCTTGCTCAGCAAAACAACTCTTCTTTTTACACTTGAAGTATTAAAGGGACAGAAGAATTGCAGCAAAGAAGTCAAACCAATAAGTTCAAACTTGATTTTGCATAAAAATTCATATCACCTAAAACTATAGAACACTTCTAATGATTCCACTTCAAGCAGCTGGACAAAACCATAAAAAGCCGCCTTTGATATTTGGTTCCAGCCAATTCCCAGCCAACTACCATAATGACTGGGGATGATCTGAGTTGTAGTTTAACTCATCTGGAGGAAAGCACCAGGCAGTAGAGGCCTCTACAACTGGGGTTAGTCATAGATCTATAGGAACATGTATTTCCCAATGGAAACAAATAGGGCAATTTGCACTGGACTTTAATGAAGAAGATTCAGACAGTGACTAAATAAACAGCAGTTACTTGAAGATCTTAGCACTGAGGACATTAAGGGAGTAGTTCCTGTGACCTGCAAGGATGTGTCATGTTTGCCTTTAAGCCTGAGAATATCCTAGGTCAACACGTACAACAGACTACTAGATTAAAATGGGGTTGAGCAGCCTGCAAATTGGCAAATTGTGGGTGCCAAGTGCATGAATTACATCCGTATGTGCAAGAAGACCATTCTGCTAGATGAGAAGATGCAAGAGATCAAGACACATCCCTTTACACTTCAATATCTCCAATAGGGCCAAAGGGTTCTAGATGAAAGGCAAAGGAAATGGTCACTGATTTAGCTTGATAATCCATATTGGGGAGTGGATCTTGTAAACCCTGAGTAGTTCCCAGAAGCATCCAGATATGGTGAATTTAATACAGTATAATTTAGACTATGGCCCTACAGTTAAGCCCAGGGAGGCAGTTTCCATAGGCAGTATAGAAGTTTCCTTTTGTTTTGTTGTATATTTACTGCTACAGATGGGGAGAGGTGTTTAGGAGATTTTATACTTCATATACTACGGGCATGATGCACCTTAATCTGAGTCTAGGTGCATTTCCTACTTTGCCTCAGGCAACAACCTTGTTTAAAATACTTTTTACATTATTAGAAAACCCGCTGCAATACAAAGAAGCACAGATGATTTGAAAGTTTAGAGAAGAAGAATTCGATTCAAAGAGAAAGGGTAAACAAAGGAACAATACAGAAACTCTTCAAAAATGGAGCTTCATGGAAAAAGAGGAGTGAAAAGAATTGGGCAAAGCTGTATAAAATCAAGACTCTAACATAGTATGATTAACTGATCCTAGAAGCCTGTATGGGATTGATTCGTTCTTGAGCCCTGGAAACTCTTCACTTCAGCAATGGGCCCTGTTTTCTCTTCATTTTACCCAAGGAAGACTTTAAGATGGGCCTCAGTCAAATCACCATGAGTACCAGACTAGGATTAGTTTATTTATTTTATTTATTTATTTTCAGACTTGTATGCCGCCCATCTCCCCCAACGGGTGACTCTGAGCGGCTCACAATAATAAGAAAGAAGAAAAAACACAGTTTGTTACCCTGAGGGCTGCCACACTGAAGCCTTTTCCTACATTTGTACAAAAGTCTCTAGTGATGACATTAAGGATCATGGTTTGCCATTAAACAAAACAAAACATTAAATTAAAACCACAGCAACAAACTTTTCCTGCAAAACAGAGTTGTGAAACAAAGACATTTCACTTTGGCCACTTAGCTAACAGCATTTTTCATTAACTAGAACACCACTGACAGGGTTGATGAGTAATATATATGCATTTTTTAAAATCAGCACTGACTGTCTTGTTTCAGGTTGTAGAAAATGATTTGGCGGGTTGTCATGTAGCTGGTGAGCCACAGGTTTGAGACCTCTGCTCTAAAGCAAAAGTCTTGAGTAACTTCCTCTCTTACTAATTAACCTCAAGGGAGGAAGGGAGTTGCGTTTATACAGAAATTTAGCCAAGTGTTCCTTCTGGTTTTCCTTATTAAAAGTAAAAAATACTTGGCTATTGTCAGTTCTGTTTGCATTTTGATCCAGTGGGGGCCTCCAGGGGCTTATCTGGTTAGAGGGAATTGTTACACTGCCAAAGGGTCTTATGTATAACGGCATCAGATCAGAGTCACAGAATTCAATCTCTGCAATATGGATTACATCCAGGATCTGCTAGGTATCCCTTCAGCTTTGGACTGGCATCACTTAAATTGCTGGTCCTTTCCTAAGAGGATTCACTTCTACCCTCCCTTTTTCATGTTTTTTTCTGCCACCATAAAAAAAAAAAAAAAGCTATTGTAACTCCTCAGTAGAGAAATAATGTCATGTTTCCCTTGTCAAGTGTGGAGATTTAGAAATAATCGCTGGTTGGAAAGTACTTATGCCATTAGAGTAGGATCAGACTGAAATAGAAACCATGGAGATGAGAAATTCTATCTCTCACAATCAAATTAAAGCATTTCCCCCTTTTATGAAATGCCAAGCTTCATTTGCTTTAATAGGTTGTGACAATCTTAGGCTTGGGCAAAATCCTCTTAGTGAGAATGCTAGATGGCTTCTTTGTTCTTTGTACAGTAATCACAGAGCTGAAGAACAAAGACAACGTCCCCTGGCTTTGCAGAAGTGTTAATAGCTATACCATGAATGTAAAATAATCTCAGCTTTTGCATAATAATATCCATCCCTTAATGTACTTCCATAACTTCGGTTAATGTGTGTAAAGGAGTAAAATAATTACACAAAAGAACCCTAAAGATCCTATCAATTTAACAGCTAAGGTTTTCATGACAAAAAACCCTTCTGTATCAATAAACAATGTTTAAATTTGTGCTGGCTTTTTGACTGTTCCCAAATGTTGTGGATTCCATTAATATTTTTGGACAATTTATTCCCCTCTGATTTTGTAACAGAGCAGGAGTATGTAATTCTGTTTCTCCCCTCCCCCCCCAACTGAACCTTAGTGCTATAGAACAAATCTCTGAATTGGTAGAAAACCGTATGTGCATAAAACTTCTTGTTTCCACTGCTGATCCTGTTCCTTCCTGTGTTCCTTCTGTTTGCAAGTCATAGCAGCACCTGACTTTCCTGCAAAGTGACAGGTGGCAAAAGGCCTATCTCACTGTTGATCTGAAGTCCTATCTACTCATCCTTGAGTCAGTAGAAAACTGTCACGAAACAACCACACCCAATGGATGTTCCTTAATGGATCCACGTCACAATGGAAGGATGTATCCAATTGGGTACTTCAGGGTTCTGTCCTGGGACCAGTGCTCCTCAACATTTTTAAAATAACTTAGATGATGGGATAGAAGGGATGCTTGGCAAATTTGAAGATGACACAAAGCTGGGGTGGGGGACTGCTAGCACATCTGAAGATAGGCTCAGGGCTTATTTATTTATATTTATTTATATGTCAAATTTATATCACTGCCCAGCTCCCCCAGTGGCAAAAATAATGATCTTTTAGCATAG